TTTCATTAAGGGAAGACGACGGTATAACTCCCTCGCGCGCTTCACAGCGCTTGTGTTTCAAACTCCAGCAGTTAGTTTTTGTATAAGCTTGGGGAAGTCTGCACTTGGAGCTAATGGCATCATCAATAATGCATTGTTGTCACTCACAGCACTTTTATGTGCCCTGATGATGATTCAGCCTCCCTCATGCGGCCTCACACCTAATGACTCCCCAGACAACACAGCTTCCAAGAAGCTTTCTGAACCTACGTATACGGCTGCACGTTGGAGATTAATTAAAATATCTACTGGAACAATAAAAAGACGAGGCCGGAACAAGGAGTGGGAAATGCTCTTCACATTTGTATTCATTGACACATTGAATGCATTACGTACTTGATCCTTTGGAGCATCAGTGCAGATATCTAATAAAGCTGGTTGTTCTGATTCACAGAGGTAAACATGTCTGTGTCTTGTGTTTGGAGAACAACTGGTTTCTATCTTTTGTTCAAATAAATACAAATTCCTGTAGAGGCAGCCCATGTAGCCCCTCCCCCATCACTGAATATTTTTCTGATAATCAAGGCAAAATGCCTGAATACAGCTCAAATATTAGTGTAACCCCAGGGCCTGATCAAACAAAGGCAGCGGCAGGGGAATGCGGAGGGAATTAATTAAAAATCAGGGGGGGTGGGTTCCTGAGTAGGAGACAGGGATGAAGGGATGAGGAGGGGGATGAGGGGAGGGGGTGGGAGTAGTAATTGCAGGGGGGTATTTTATAGGACAATAAAGGTGAGGCATAAGAACAAAGAACATTAAAGAGGCTAGCCAGCATAGGAGACAAACATGTTGTATTAAAAAAAACATTTTACACTGGTACTGACAAGGTTAAGAAGAAAGATGAGCTCTGCATGAGAGGATTTTCATCTGTCAAATCCCCCCCCCCCATAAAAAAACACCAAACAATACATTAGTCGTTTTTCACACATGTACTCCTGGCCTGGCTGTTCACGTTTGCTCCTCACAGCTGGAGACCATCTCTGTCAGACTGGAGGAGGTAAAATGTGATGTAAAAAAACAACGCAGAATTAGTGGATGAAGCAACATAGTCCGCTATACGACGCTATAATGATAATATTTGCCTTTATATCAATGCTATGTTAAGTCCAAATTGGACTTATTGGAAGATACTAGGGGTCTGACAGGAGGAACTGAAGGTGAAGTCAGAGTGAAAAATGTGGCTCTTTGCGTTCACACATACAGCTCCTCCTGGTAAGATCAGGAGTTTTTCAGGAGATTTCTGCAAGTGTGAAAGCCCTATTGGTGTTTTTGCACAGGCACAAATCTCCTGAAAATGTACAGAATATGTTTGAAGTGAGCTGCATGTGTGAAAGCAAATGGCCAACCTTTTCCCCCTGAACTTTTTACTGGTATTTTCCTTCCGGCCCACTAGTTCAAATTTCTGCGTAAAGTTGGGATGTATCCATGTGTGAATGAATCAGTGTGCAGCAAATAATCAGGAAAATTCACCTCATGTGAGTGAGTCGGGCTGATTATGTTTAAATCATTTGACCGGTGAACTAAAGGTGAGATTTATGTGCACGTAGTGAAACTGCTTCATACTCTTTCTGCTTTCAAGTGGACGCTGTTTCTTCCTCAACCCTTTCCACATTCACCTTTCTACGTCACGTCTCGCCTCCCGTCCGACGGGGAAAGTCGACCACTTTGAGGCTCAGATTTGAAAAGGCAACTCAGAAAGAAAGATTCCAGGGGAAGTTTGTCCTGACATTTTCAGGAGTGGATATAAAAAAAGACTTTCAGCCTATCAGCACTTTCTGACTCCCACACTGGTCACATTTTTTTTTTTTTAAAGTATCCAACGTAAAGAAAAGTTTAATTTCACAAAGTTGATATGATCAGAATTTTGGCAGCTAAATATGAGAATTTGTTGCGTTGGTATTCATGACTGTAAACTAAAAATCATCAGGGTTTTACTGATTGTGTTACGACGTTTAATAGACTTAACATGCTGCTAAATAATTTTTATTATCCAAAATTATAAAAAAAGGTTATCAAAGGAGCTGCAATGTGTTAAACCAATTAACAAAACAAGACAGAAAAGCAAATTATGAATAAATGCCAAATGTCTGAGTTAACATCGAGGACAGATAACCCCAAAAGGTTGTAGATAGACAGCATGACACACACACACACACACACACACACACACACACACACACACACACACACACACACACACACACACACACACACACACACACACACACACACACACACACACAGTCCTGCAGTGTTATCTTTTCAAAACCATGTAATGAATGTCTGAGAGAGGAGACATGGGGGGGGGGAAGCTGGGAGTCCCATACTTGATTAAACATGAGAGATGTCTGAATGATCTATGAGCTGGATATGTGTATGTATGTCTCTGTCTATATGTGAACATGTGTGGATGTGAGTTTCTTATAAATGTGTGTGTGTGTGTGTGTGTCTGTATTTTTCACACACAGAGGCACAATTATGGTTTTGTGTATGCCACTATATGTGTTAGTGTGTCTGTTAGTGTGTGTGTGTGTGAGTGTGTGTGTGTGTGTGTGTGTGTGTGTGTGCCAAACTGCCGGTTAAATGTTTCTCCTTGACTGGAGAGACCCTGAAGTCTGCCGCTACATCTGTTGCAGTAAAACAGACGCACAAACAGACTCACGCACAAAAATCACAAGCTGTGCATCACGCACGAACACACAGTCGTCACCTCGCAGAAATACTGTTTTAAAGTCGGAAAAAAACAAATCTGATTCGTAAATAAGAAATGAAAATATCCACAACTACGTTAGACTATTGTAAAGAGGCTCACGTATCACTGCATGCAAACATGCAGAAAGATCACTTGAATTCTCCCTTCCCCCTCTACCATTCTGAATTTAACATTCATTTAGACAGAACTGTCCCTCTCCCATGTACACACACACACACACACACACACACACACACACACACACACACACACACACACACACACACACACACACACACACACACACACACACACACACACACACACACCAGGGATTGCAAATTTGGGTTTATAATCAGGGCTGCCCAAGAGCGATACAGTGGGGGAAGGACTTAAGGGCACTGCTCCAACCTGATTGGTCAGAACAGATCAGCTCAAAAAAGACATGAGAGAAGATGATAGAAAAGACACAAAGATAAGAGAGAGCAAAAACATCTCAAGTAATTAACAAACCATGAAGAATAAAAAAAAAAATACACATAGAAAAAGAGAACAGAGCCTAAAGTTAGCTAGTTTCTATTTTGTGAGCCAACACTGGGTGCTGTCTATTACTCCTTATGACCATGAGGGTTCATCAGTTCCCTACAATTCACTGACTCAGTCCTGTCCCGGGGGGGACGACGACGACAGAGAGGCACTCGTACGGTGGGCCATGTCTCAATCTGACAGTAAAGGTTAAAGTCTAAGTCTTGATCAAAGCCCTGATGTTGTCCAGCTTGTCACACAAGGTCGAGACATCAGGATGCTGAGTGTTTCTTTAGCTTTGTTTGGAAGCTGCATCTTTAGACAAGGTCCTTGAAACGTATGCATGTTCTCTCTCAGACAAGTTGGAGCAGAAATATGGTGACTAGTCCAGCCGGTTTGAACTGACAGCAGGATAGAATCCAGCAGCAGCAGCAGCAGTCGTATCTTTACACAGACAACACACCGGCTGACAGATAAGGCTTCATCACTTTTATCTGAGAATGTGTGAGAACATCAATTCCTGACGTCTTTATGGAAAAATGAAACAGAGAGCAGAGTCTGAATGAGACGGCTGATGATGATATGAAGGTAACAAGGACTGTAATGTTTCCAGGCTGTGACTCAGTGGAAGAGACGGTCGCCTCTCAAACAGAAGGCCAGGGGGGTTCGATCCCCAGCTACATGTCCGATGTGTCCTGGGACAAGACACTTAACCCCAAGTTGTTCCCGCTGCTTCGGCGGTGGTGTCTGAATGGACGAGCTACTTCTGATGCACACTTTAAAAAGCAGATTTTACCGTCAGTGTGTGAATGTGTAGGAGTGACATGTGGTGTAAGACTTTTGTTATAATCATTTATAAACTTATAGAAGAAATATAACATAGGGGGATATACGTTTTACTTCTTCCTACTCCTTTACTGTTCACTGTTACTTTTGTCTTTTTTTTTTGGTTATCTAATTTTTCCTTCATTCATTCAGACTAGAAAAGCACAATACAAGCCCGTCTATCATTTACTCTTAAAGAGCTGCAGGAGAGAGATAGGTCAAGAGGTATGTTGTGTTTATGTAATCCAGCGTGTTGTTTCTTTTTTGTTCTACTCTGAATAACTTCCTCTGTACTCATCTTCACCTTTCTCATCCTGCTCCCTTTGACACGATGTGCTAATTCAGCCTGCTGCTTTACTGCTTCAACATACACTGAATTAATTATTCTGTCTTTACCTGCGTGTGTGTGTGTGTGTGTGTGTGTGTGCCTGCTAACTGCAGCATTAAATAAACCTGAGAGCATCATAAATAACCCTGTGGGATAGATGCTAATGGGGGCACTTAGATTGACCAACACTTATACATACTTGCTGCTACGGCCATGCCTGCCAACCGGCTGCTATTAGGGCCATTTGAGGAGACGAGACATTATCCCACACACACACACACACACACACACTGCAAAAATGATACGTAGTAGATGAAAGTTCCTCACAGGAGCTTTAATAAAATGAAAAGTGATGAGTATACATCAGCATGATAATACTGTCTTCTTTGTTACCCTAATTCATGTCCTACATTAAGCAACACGGTAAGGAGTCATGAAGTAGTAACGTGGAGAGTCAAACTGGCAGCTAAATCTGTTCAGAGCGCAGAGTTTTTAAAATCTAAATTTCGATATTTGGCAGCAGAGATTCCATAATTATATCACACGAGTCAGGGCGATGATATATTACTTCAACATAGAGGTCTTCTTGGCTGAGTCATTTTGAGTAAACATCCCCACCTTGTGACCACGGGGAGATTACATTTCCTCTGTTGAATGGAATCTGCATGTGAAGCATTATTCCACATGTGTTGAAGAATATTATCCTGTTTGATTTAAATATAAATGTATGCTCATTTTTAGTGTGATTTTGAAATCATTATCTGATTCATTTTGTGAATATTTCATCATCCTGCTTCACCACTTTATTATGAACAGGTACTATAAAACGTAATTCAAATATTAGGTCTACAGGTGATTGTTTTGGTTTGCAGATTCATACCTGACAGCGTCACCTACCCTCAAATTACTTAAACTGATGGAGTCATTACAAAAAAAAGCCCCCAGACTTAAGTTTGTAATTACAAAATAAGCCTGGGGCAGCTTTGTCAGCTTGGAGCCAGACGGACACACCTGTGGGAGACTCTTCCTGGGATTTGGTAGCATAAAGAAAAGAGTAGAACTGAACTGATGGTTTATTTATCATTCCTCCCGCAGTCCAAAGACATGCTCCTTAGGTTAAGTGGTGACTCTAAATTATCTGTAGGTGTGAGTGTGTCAGGTTGTCTGTCTATAAATGTCAGCCCTGTGATTGATTGGCAAACAGTGCAGGGTGTAACCCGCCTCTCGCCCATAACAGCTGGGATCAGCTCCAGCCGCCCCCGGCGACCCTGAACGGGAAAATACTCTACTCTGTGTACATTTCACAAATACATTGGCAAAGTATTTGTGCTGGATTTTGCTTGCAATTTTGGTAATTAAGAAAGAAGAAAAAACAATATCAGGGTGTAAGTGTTGTCATCTACATCCTCCACCGTAACTTCTTTAGTCTTCTTTGGGTCTGACTGACCTAACGCAGACAATAACTTCAACTTAGCCGTTATGACGTACACAAACTTCACCCCGCTTCAGGCTTCCTTAAGTTACCTGACCGCGATCTGACCTCTCCCGACTTTCATTTAAGAAAAAGTTGAGATTTCAAAAAGTTTAAAGGAGGAAAATGAGAGATCCCCCATTAATTCAAACTTTAATTCATACTTTAAATATTACACAAAATGTTTTTATAGTGACAAAGGAGCTGCTTGTTTCAAATTAAAAAAGTGTCTTATACGATCTGGGAGGTGCTGGATACAAATTAAGCCCTGGTGACAACCCTACTTCCACTTAAACCTAACTTATATGTACCGTAGGTGTTTTCAACCTTTGTGATGTCATTACTCTCTGATGTAAGTAGATTTGGATAAAAGCGTCTGCTAAATGAATTGTAGAACATGCTAACAGAACTCAAGTATTAACCTGCTGCTGGTGACAATAAAGTGTGTAATGAAGTTCAGCATCTCGTTCCTTGAACATGAGACGACTTCACATGTCTGTGTTTTGTGAAAATAAATGTAACCAGCAGAGTATGAACGACTCATTTTCACCAAAAACACACGGGGGTATAAACAGACACACAGAGCTTAAAGGGGATAAAAAGGTTCATTAAGGAAAAATGAAAACTTTTATAAATGTAGAAGGTCATAGCAACACCATGAATACTGCATGTGAGGGGGGAGGGGGAAGGGGGAGGGGGAAGGGGGGCGTTAGTGTTACATAAATCTTGTTGATATATTTTAGAAATCAGCAGCCAAAAGATGGATTGCAAATGGCAGACACACACACACACACACACACACACACACACACACACACACACACAATCACACCTTAAAAATATTATCTTCGGCCCTCTCTCCTCCTTTAAATCCTCCAGGGTGTGTGTGTGTGTGTGTGTGTGTGTGTGCGTGCGTGACAGTGAACATCAATCAGAGTAGTAGTGGTGCCCAAAGCCCTGGCAGAAGTTGAAGATGATTCTACTATCAATCACCTTGGGTGTGTGTGTGTGTGTGTGTGTGTGTGTGTGTGTGTGTGTGTGTGTGTGTGTGTGTGTGTGTGTGTGTGTGTGTGTGTGTGTGTGTGTTTGTGTATCCAGCATCTTAATCGCTTGCTCTGTTTCTCATTCTCTGTCTGGATCAATACCATGGTTTCAACACGAGACACAAAACACGATCAATCTCTCTCTTTGCTTTTCTCAAGCACACACACACACACACACACACACACACACACACACACACACACACACACACACACACACACACACACACACACACACACAGAAGATAATTGTTTTTTCTTTATTATTATTATTATTTTAATTAATGGGTTGACTGGAGTAGATGCTGTCTCCTCTCAGAGTGATCCTGAATCACTTGTTCCTAACATGGTCACAGCTTTTCGTTATATAAAAAACAGGATTGTCCTTCCCACCTTGTTTCTTTCAAACAGCTCGGTCTGGATCGCTTTGAGGTCGGTGTCCAGTGCAGAGGCGGACTGCCGGCGTTTTTTTGCCATTTGCTCCTCCAGGTCCTCGACCTGAGCCCTCAGCTTCTTGTTGTCCCTCTCCAGGGCAAGTTTCTCTGTTTCCAAACACTCCCTGCGCCCCCACTCTGCAGCGTTCTCCACCTGCAGCCTCTCCATCTGACGGAGAGACACGGAGAGCAGAGAGGAAAAAGAAGCAGAGGACACTGAAATGAGCATTTTAGGCGTACTCATCAACACATGTGGCAGCATGAAGGTCAAAGACGGAGCTGGATCCAAGTGGAGCTTCTCAGAGATAAACAGAACTTTTGGTAAACAGAGAAACTCCTTTTTAAATCTTCAAGTTCACATTTACTACACTCACATCTAGTGTAGACAAAAATCATTACAGCACAAATTCCTCACAATCAACCCTCACCTCACGGGCATGAGTTCTGAGTAGTGAGTGAAATAATTAGATCAGAGATACAGTCGAGGCAACCAAACTTAATTTGCTCAATAGATCTTTACTCTAAGAGAGTAAGGACTGAAGACAGGCCCGGGGAACTGACACTGCATCTTCAAATGAAAATGAATTAGCTGAAGTTGATCAGCCTCCTGGACACCTTCCTTTGAAGCTTCTCTAGCTGATCCCTCTGGTAGGAGACCCACAACTCTCTGGAGAGAATATACATTAACACACGGCCTCAGGTGGTTTCAGGGTTTCAGAGGAAGAGCTGTAAAAAGTTACTTTAAAGATGGTTGCCTGTAGTATGTTTCCTAGCCTGCTGCCACTGAGGCCCTGCACAGTCAAAAGAAACAAATATCCAGAGAGATTTATGTTCAGATGAAAAGTTGTCCTACATAAAAACATTCCTGTAATATATCAAATAAGTGCTAAACATTTGGATTACAAACTATGAAACTTAACCATCAAACCTGGTTAAGAGTTTTAACACGCTGAACAGTGCTGTACTTTTCTAAAGAGTAATATCTTTACCTGATCTTTGTGTTAAGAGTCTTAAAATAATATTTCTCATGAATTGGAGCTCTAAGCTAAAGATTGATTTATTGATTCTGCACAGGGTGAAGACGATCCTGAAGCAACCACTAGATGGCAGCATATGCAGGATTTTAAAATGTAAGGATGGAGGACGCAAGAAATCTCGAAGATCTTTTCTGAAATATAGAATCAACAAAAATGTAAATGAAACATCAAATTAAATCCAATACACTGACCAAATATAATACTGCAAAAAAAAAACTGTATTTCGGTTAGTAAAGAGCTCATCCTCCTTTCCTTCATCCCACACTCCCACTCTCCCTCCATGTTGCTGTAAACTCGTCCACCCTCCTATCGTCTTTCTGTTCTTCACAGTCCCCTCACCTCTGCTCGGAGTTCGGCTAGTTTCTTGTCCATACTGGTCCGGGCTCCCAGTTCATCCTCCAAGTCTTCAGATATGCGGCCGAGTTCATCCTGGTGAATTTCCTTCAGCAGGTTCAGCTAGAAGAGATATGAGGAGGAGAAACGGGACAAAAGGTCAAAGGGCATGGTGATTCAGTTTGTTATTTAGTCTTAATGGTGGCACCACCACCACCAGTCAGTTTAAAACCATCCATCTCCGTCCCCTGAGTTCAACACTGTTACTAAAGGATAGGTTAATAAAAGGATGTTTATACTGCATCAGAGTGCCTCAGACTCTCACTTTAGACTGCCATTTCTTCATGATGAACATTATTTGTAATTAGGACTAGTCTTTTATTCATTAGTCATACATGGATTCTTCTTCACATCTGATTCAGTCGGATTATTTAACTTGGCTAATTACACTTCAACTACTTCCTGCAGACCATATTAAAGATTTTGACCCATTTGTTACCCTGAAAAACTGCAAACAACAACTTCAAAAACATGTTCACAAGTTCAGAGTCCTGACGTTCACAATACAGTAAAATTAAACTGCAATACAATGCAATTAAAAAATCGATACCTGATTCAGTACTACAACAACAAAAACAGAACTTCTGGGGACCTTATGTTGGGTAATTTCTTGTTTTTGATTACCAAGAATTGCACTCCACACTTTCTTAATTGCACAAATACGTTGGCAACATTTCAATGACAAACGCTGCCCGCGTATTTGATCCATTTAGACAGCGTCCCCTCTGCTGTCATCACTTCTACTCTCTGTCTGTCTGTAAGAGACATAAATCTAACTTTGGCCTCTTTATGAGACACTGAAAGGATTTGAGAAGTGTTAGTATTTCTCTCTCTCGCTCTCTTTGTTGCAGCTTTGGGTAAAAAATATGACTGAAGTTCTGTGATTTTTAAAAGCTTCTGTCCCTTACCCTACTATCAGCCATTAAAATAATCAAGATTTTATCATTTCAAAATGGTTGGTATTCAAAAGTATCAACATATCGAACATTTTCGACAACCATAAAACAACCCTGAACAAAAGGCCTCGCTGAACAGGCCAGAGTGGGAACTCCTGATTGTTCTTTAACTCTGTTTTTTTATTTATTTATTTGTTTTGTGTACGTATGTTCTTTGGTGGGAAATGTCTGTTTGGACAGAAACGCTGCTGTGAAAAAGAATTTCCCCCTGGGGACAATAAAGTCTAAAGTCAATATGACAACTTTAACCTTTTACTTGTGTATTGCTTGGCAAGTCTGTTGGGAATTAATTAAGATATAAAGATAATTTGAGCACCCTTTAGAGGCTAGGTTGCATGTCCAATGTACACAGGATCTAGTCCTGGAACCAGGCAGCTGGACGCTCTCTCTCCCTCCTGTGTGTGTGGATAAGAATGACTCATCTCCTTTACCATCTTCTGTCATCTCTCTCTCTTATCTGATGATTGTATCTCTGCCTGTGTGTCATCTGCTTCCTCTCCACCATCAGCACCTCCCCTGATCCTGCTTCTATCTGATCTCCTCTACCCACTTATCTTAAAAACAACCATCATCACCATCCACACAGCGCTCACCTCCTCTGACCTATCCCCTTAAGTCTTCCTGTGTGGGTTTATCTGATTCTGTCATACATTGAGCCTTTCGTGAGAACTGTGTTAGCTGGCTCGTTTCCCTCCGTCTGTCTCCCCTCTCTGCAGGCCTGGACTGCCCCCGGGTGGTGTAGCACTGCTAACACATTACAGGCCCTACACGATCTAACTGAAGAGACACTCTATGTCAACAGAGCATTGAGGTAATGTGACGAGCTAATCTTCAGAGATTCATTTCTGCAAAACAGATAGTGAAGAAGAGCATTGATGAGGAGGGAGAGAGAGACAATAAGATGAAAGCATTGATGTAAAATAGTTATATTAAACTGTATCAAAGAACTAAATACAGACTGTCTATTATACTACTGTACAAAATAAAACACCTCACTATATTATTCTATATCCTGCTGCAGCCAGATTCATTTGAATTTAATGGGGGGATTTTTTTTAACTTATTAAAACAGGTTTAAGTTTCTCCGCCTATTACTGACTAAATAAATTCACTAGAATGAACTCCTAGAATTAGAATACCTCTGTTGGCACCTGTGTGATTCAGGCCTATGTGTGTGAGAAGCGTGTCTCTCAATAACAGCGTTTAAAAACAGAATTTCCCTCAGGGATTAATAAAGTAAGTAAAAAAAAAGAAAAGATGCCTCCTGGTTGGATGATTGAAAATAAACCGAGTTTGCAGATCTGAAAAATGTTGTGTTTGTCAGTGAGACAGAGTCACTCATTTTCCTGCTTGATCGGTCCATGAGGTCTGTGTGTACTTGAGTGAGCAGTAAACAAAAAAAAGCTTAGCTTATATATTACATGTCTATGTGGAGGAACATTTCCCTTTTCGTTTCCTCTTCTGGTGCTTGATAATATCACCATGCATTAACACATTGTTGTTGTTAAATTGTTTAATGTTGCTTTCTATTAAACCCTGAGCATTGCAAAAGGCATGTTGGGATGTTGTAGGTTGTTAATGTTTTATCTACTCCTGTCCTGGTTTCTCTCAGTCCATAATTACAAAGTTAGTCCAGCAGAGACGGTCTCAGAGACACAGGGACCGTGTGTGATCTATTCTTGAGGAAGCCAGCTTCTTTGACCCTGGATTTCATTCTCTGATCAAAGTCAATTGATGAACATGATGTGAAGTTCTTAGTTATATGACCTTCAAAAGAGAATTCAGTGACCATCAGACAACCAGAGATAGATAACACGTCTGCCTTGTAATGTGCTTCTTTGGCTTCCTTGTGTTACATGGTACCAAAGAAGAAAAGTACGGCAGGTCGTTTGTGTTGAATAAGTATCCTCTAAGCTTCCAGATACAAATATTATCAGAACAGATCCAGCTGCTGTTTTTCTGAATGAGGCAGATACCAGAGTTGTAGTTTTTAGTCATAACCTGCGTACCTCAGCTCAAAGTTTCCCATTTTGAAACAAGAGAAGACGTGGCTGCACGACGACGTCGATGGCTCACCTGTTTGAGGGCCTCTTGTTTGCTCTTGCTGAGCTCCTCGTATTTAAGTTTCCACTGACTGAGGTCGGCCTCCAGCCTCTCAATGCTTTTACTCAATGCCAGCTTGTCTCTAGGGAAACCAAAAAACAACACACAGATCAGCACTCGATAATACGTTTCACTTTCTATGTTGGTTATTAACTGAGGGAAAAAAAAGAAATCACGTCAAAACACTGTCATGAAATCAACAAAGAAATGTCAGCTGCCCTCACATGGCGGGCGCTAAGACTGAAGTTACTTTTAAATACATATTTTCTTACATAACTTCACTCGGGCATTGATGAAGTGTACCTGAGCATTCCATTGCTGATAATGGGTTTCCCTGTAAGTGTTCATTATCATAAAACACATTAAGCTGGATCTATGCTACATCACCACAGACAGTCTTCTGGTTTTTATGATGTTCCTCTTACTCTCTCTCTTTCAGCAGGACTTTCTGGGACTCGTCCAGCCGTAGCTGCAGGGCGTTGAGTTTGCTGGAATCTTCCTCCACCGTGCTGATGTCCTCCCACAGCTGCCTGCTGCGCTCCTGGCGGCTCGGACCCGAGGACGAGCGAGAGCTGGCCGAGTTAACACCGCCTCGACTTTCCCAGGCCTCAGGAGAGTCTCCTGAACCCAGAGCCGACTCTAGAGCTTCCAATTCCTGAGGGGGAGAGGGGAGAATCACAGGGATGTACTTTAGACGGGATCATTTCTGAAAGCCAAATATCACAGTAATCTCAACAACAAAATCCAGCTGAGCATAAAACACAAGCAGTACATGTTTTGGTGCAGGGTACTCAACATAGGTGGAAGAAATGATGGAAAAACAATGAGAAGGTATTTAGAATTTAATAAACAGGAATTTTACTTAAAGAGGACATATTATCCACCTTTTCAAACAGTCCCCTGTGGTCTAAATGAATCATCTGTGCTGTGCTTTGGTCAAAGTATAACATGAATCAAGCACCAGAGGAGGTTTGTGACCCTGTATAAACCAGCTCTCTCAGAACGCTCCGTTTTGGTGTGTGTGTCTCTTTAAATGTAATGACCCCCCCTGAGCTTTCCCCGTAGACATCACTCCTCTGTAGCGAGAATAAAAATGAAGGACCTGCGCAAAAGTTTTGTTATAGGCTGGGGGTGGAGTCCATGGGTGGAGATATCAGGGGAGGGGAGGGGATTTTTTTTTACCAGAATCCCACTGTGACATCACAAGGAGAGCAAATTTGAAACAGAGTATTTTTCTCTGTGTTGTAAGACTTATGCAGACCACAAACAAAAGACTGGATGGGTTCACATGTTGTGGGTCAGTAGACACTCAGGTTACCCAAATAAATGTTTAAAATCAACGTCAAAGTGGATTTTTCAAAATGTGTCCCCTTTAAATCTTCATTAAAAGTACTGCGAACTCGTCTCAGTTTGGCAGATGAAATGGTTTTGTAAACTAAATGAAGTGAATAAAAGAGGTTTTCACTCCTCTCAGTGCTCATGGCAAACATTGACTCCATGTTGCAGAAAAATACTTAGAGAAACATTTGCCCTCCCAACAATCCTTAACTCCTCTTGAAATGTCTGAAGGGCCAGGAAAATACAGAACTGTTCTGATTCCAAACTACCCACATTTCCTTCTTGGACTCTTGTGAAGCTGCATGGTTTTAAAGGATTTGTCAAAAACGAGGGCCTATTCGGCTACAATATTCCTCTCTGATATCCTCCCTGTATTCCACTCCACCCACTGTTACCCCGACAAGGTCACAAATCAAACTCCTTCATCCTGCAGATCATCATCCACGGCTCCTGCCAACAAGCCGTCACAGCACAACCCTGGAACTAACGCATAGATTCTGGTGACTGGAGACTTTCACATCTTATTTCATTTTATGGCCAGAGCTGAAACGAGATTGGAAATGTTGAGCTATTTCTCCTCACAGTATAGTAAATCTGTCTGCTTTGGCACTGCAACAGTGAAAATCCAAATGTTTCCCCACCCTACATCATTCACAGCCTCTGCCAAACGCGAGGTCGGGGTCTCCCACAGGCACCGTCACACTGTGTGGTGCTTTAAGAAAATCATCAAGCTGCCGTTAAGAGCATGTGATTGAAAAGTAGAACGGGACCGTCTGAGAGTATTTTATTTAATGCTGCATGTTTGAAATAAAGCAGAATGCAGCTTCTTTGTGCTGCACTGAGAGGAAAGTGACAGAACCGCAAACAAGCTATTTGATGCATTTCAATGTATATTGTGCCGATATGATGAAGAATAACACAGAGCGTTAACAGCATGGCAGGAGTTCTGTGAGGCTTTACTCTGGCACAAGTGGGCTCCAAGCTAAATGCTAAAAGCAGCATGCTAGCACACTGGTAAGGAAGTGTGTCGATGGAAGAGAAGCAATGGGAAAAGTCAGAGATGAGGAAGAAGATAGACCTGCACACAAAAAGTTTGAATCCATCACAATGTTTCAACCAGAGATCTTCTTCAGGTGATAATTATTAAAGAAAGGACGGGAAAAATCAGAGATAACCAAAGCAATGACGATTAAATATATATATTATATAATTCTAATTATACAAATGGTAAATTAACTTAAACTTGTGTAGTGCTTTTCTAGTCTTCTGACTGCTCAAAGTGCTTTTACACCGCAAGTCACACCTACACATTCACACACTGATGGTAGAGGTTTCTATGTAAAGTGACCTTCAGAAGTAACTAAGACATTCATACACATTCATACGGCGCCGACAAAGCAGCGGAGCAATTTAAGTGTCTTGCCCACAAACACATTGGCGCATATGTGGCTGCAGGAGCTGGGGATTGAACCACCCACCTTCCAGTTGAGAAACGACCGACTCTACCAACTGAGCCACAGCCGTGTACCCATGATATAAATTATGAATGTATTATTTGATTCATCTTTGGTATTAACTGTCCTTTCTAAAACACATTCTAGTTTCTATAATAATAATAAAACATGTTGCAGAGGTTAAACTGTATAATAGGACAAGTTGGGAATTCCTGAAGTTTCAAAAGCACCATCTGTTAGGGGCTCATACAAGAGTCTCCGAAACTCCCTGAAGTCTTAATGACACTCCACATCTGAGCTAAGACGAGAGGATGCTTTAAATGTCGTCGAGGTGGTGCTGGTTTAGCTCGGATGTTTGAGCAGGTGAACTACAGTATGTAGAGGCTACAGTTCTCTGCAGGATCGCCTCCCTAATCCAGTCCCTGATCTCATCTTGATTTGCATTCATATAAGAGTCAAGTGGGGCCGATGTGCCCGGCGAAATGTATCTCAAGATAAAAAAGATGAAAAAATAAAGATTAAAGCCAGTGGTTTATTGAGGTGCACAGCTGGACTGGGCTGCAGAAAACCCCCTCACCCCTCAACACAGCTCTCTCTTTTTCAGACATTAACTGAATCATGAGACAATGGAGGGTGCACAGCTCTTGGGATGAAGCCCTGTGTCGCTGATGGAGGGGCTAACCTGCTTAAAGGACGGTGGTCTGCTGTCTGGCTGACAAACTGAGAGGTGGACTAACAATCTGGATGTTTCTCCAGACTTCAAAAAACAGTGAAATGGTAAATGGACTAGACTCTTACAGGGCTTTTCTAATCTTCTGACTAATCAATGCAATTTTACACCACATATCACATCCACCCATTTACACCACTTTCACACTGATGGCAGAGGGTGCTATGTAAAGTACCCATCAGTATCAACCGATCAGTTCAGTGTCTTAAACATGCAAAGAGCTGTGATCATACCAGCAGCCTTCTGATCCTGACTGTACCACTGAGCCACAGCTCGTACGGGTAATTCTTGAACTTTTCAGGTTAAGACTACAGGACTAAAATAGACAGTGAAAGCTCACTCCTTCTCTTGCAGAGTGGATAATTATGGAAGAGTAATTCAGTTATTTGCTTTTAACATGTTCTGCAAACCCTCAACGAGCCTAATCAAACTTTCTATCTGTTCAAATATCACTCTGAAATTCCATTTATTATCTTGTACAAACTCATCAAATCCAAAAATGCATTTAGGTTAACATGCAAGCATCCAGACAAACTGCTGACTGAGAAAAAGCACAACAATCATTCAAGTAAAAGCTTCACATGAATGACCATGAAAACGGAGCGACGAGGCTCATACTGTCATTACAGGTAATGCCCAACAGAGGGCCACGGTGTGTAACAGATGTCAGTCAGACGGACCATCCCGTGCCACATGTGGAAGCACTCAGAGTGTGAGAGAGAAGCAGAACAATGGAGAGAGACAGGAAATGAGCCTCTGCTGTGTTTGAGTTACAAGTTCACAAGTCCTTTCATGACCACAACTTGCTGCACCCACTTACACACGCATCATCACGGTTCACTGGGACTGCACTACACCCCTCGCCGTGTGTTTATGTGTTTGAATGTATAATGTGTGGATTTGCGTGTGTTACCATGGAAACTCTGCTTGGAGCTAGCTGAAGGTCAAGTCTGATGATTCTGCAGTGACAGGGATCTTGATGTACTGCTGCTGGGACATGGACACCTTCATTATGAGGTTACGGCTTATTCACACATATTTACATCCAAGGGCGGTTCTAGGCAGGGGCCAACAGGGGCCAACAGGGGCCAACAGGGGCCAACAGGGGCCAACAGGGGCCAGTGTCCCCCCTTTGGCCACAACTTTCAAAAGGAAGAGCCCACCTAATAACACAATCATGGTATTTAATATTGTGCGCTATTATTTTGCATAATATATATATATATATTTTTAAAGCGATCTTTGTCTATTTTTGACCTGGGTTTAATGTTCCCCTCTGAACAAAACAACTGGCCCCAGTTTGGCCCCCTTCAGTAGAAGTGGTCTAGAAGCGCCACTGTTGACATCATGGTGCGGTTCTGTGTGTGCTCGTAGCAAGGACCCACCACTGCTGTAACCAAACACTGGAAGTTAGTGAGGAGTAAGAGGAAAAGAGAGGAGGTCAAAGCTGTCTTATCATATCAGAGTTCTTCTGTTAGCATGACTGAAACTCCTCCTGCTGACCTGCTGCTAATATCCTACTGCATCATCACTACTGAGGTGATTACATTTATTTGATATGGCAACATAGGAGTTTGACCTTATTTTTTTTTCATCAAAGCCAGGAGTTTTTCTCATTTAAGACAAAAAAACAAAATTGTTGAACAAGTAAGAGAGCCCTAGTGCTGTCAATATGAAGCCTATAAAGATGTTCTACTTAAAGGCTAAGGGGAAATATCACTCAGGCACTCTCTCTGTACACTGTAAAAATCTGTAGTCAGAACACAGTCAAGGTTGAAACTGAAAAATCCAGGTTTTTGGGGGGGTTTTTTGGGTGGGGGGGACCGGCACCACAAAAAAAATCAAGGGAAACGTGTCCTTTTGCCCAAGTAGAAATCAGCTCTTGCTAGCGGACTGGACCTCACCATCTGTTGAGTCAAGAACTCATCTGGGGAAGGACGGTGAGCCAAAGTGACTCCAGAGCTTCTGATACACAATTTAAGTAAACGCCCTTCTAAGGAAACCCTGATCATATTTATGACACTTAATTAATATTTTCTGCTGCAGAAAGTGTTCACCGTTTGTTTCAGAATTAAGACCTCAAACATTACAGGGTTGTGTTTTATTTAAGGAAAAGTCATGACACTGTTGGCTAAGGTTGTGTCGTGGGGCTGAACTTCTCTTTTTCGTACATCTCGTCTCTTATTTTCAATATGAAATTGACTAAATGGGCTTAAAGAGGAAGTCCAGTACACGTCTGAAGTCATCTTAGTGGTTTATTGTGTGTTGGTATGATCCAAGCCGAGTGAAGCGGTGTGTCAGGTGTGTGTGTGTGTAGAGAGGGTTTATGATGCTCTGCATAGGACCGCCTGACAGAGAAGAAGTACTGCAGCATTTAAAGCCCTCAGGGATAAGAAATGTGTGTGTGTGTGTGTGTGTGTGTGTGTGTGTGTGTGTGTGTGTGTGTGTGTGTGTGTGTGTGTGTATTTCCTAAATAGGACAATCACCAAACACACACAAACACTTTTGGTGAGAGAGCTGGAGAACAGCAGCTACTCTGGCCTACATTCATGCAGCGCGGGTCACATTGTCCTTTCACCAGCAGAGAACACGGACACAGAGAGACCAGGAAGGAACTTCAGCAGATTCATGTTAACATGGTCGCAGAGACAAAAAGAGGAGTCCAATCACTAACATACAAACAGAATGCAACCTCAAAACAGACCCACAACTTCCACCAGATTATCAAAACTGTCAACAACATTTTAAATATTTCTTTTGTCAATTAAATATCAGATGAAATGATTTTCATCAACTTGTAGATTAAAGATTAGATCTTAAATTGTTTGTTTTCTCCAACTAACAGTCCATCACTTAGAGGTAAAATATAATTTAGTATTCTGTCTGTATTTGTCTGTGGGCAGAAAATATCCTAAATGTTGCACACAGTGTAGGCTCCTTTAACCACAGCCCATAGATTAATTGGCTAACCGATAATACCGGCCAATATTGATATGAGTGACTATCAGTATCGGCTATTTTATCACAGATTTGCGTCGATATGACTAGATTTACAAACCAATCAACTAGCATTTCATTTGAGTTTCACTGCATTAAACCAGCAGTTCTCTTTCACCAGCAGAGGGCGCTATATGGATTACAACAAGCATCATCACTCTCCGGATTGTCGAGCGGTGATGCACGTTCATGCATGGTTACTTTCCAGTTGAGCGACCATCTTGTCTTCATTATACTGTTTATCTTTTCCACAAGTGTTGTCATGCCCCATATTATGTATTACTCTGCATGAAGTAAAAACGGTTGAGTTATGCCAATCAAGATATGAACTATTCAGACCATTTTGTGAACTAACATGTTTATTTCTAAACCTCTTGATTTAGGCAGAGTGGCATCTTGAGCTAAATCAGCGTGCAAAACTGCTCGTCATGACAAAGACTTCAGAGAAAGTTGTGGACCGACTGAAGGACAAACATACAGACTGATGTTTCCATTTTGAAGCCAAAGTCACAATGTGGCCTGAGAGAACAGGATGTAATAATATGTAAAGTGTTAAAATCTTCATTATTTAAGCTGCGCTAGATTATGTTAGTTTTGTTTTTCATCACATGACACCAGAGGATCTAAACACTCACCTGTTGTTGAGCCATCTTTTGTCTGTCCAAGTCCACATCCCTAACCGGCTCTGGCTCTGGAGACCCGGGGGCCCCTCCCCTACCCTGTCCAGTTTGGTCTCGGTGTGGACCTGCGAGGAGAGGAGGAGGAAGCAGGGGAGGACGGGGGGATCGATGGAGAGGAGAAGGAGGACGGGTGTGCAGGGGAGGAGGACGGAGAAGTGGCAGACGGAGGAGGAGGAGCCGTTTGGTCATCACGGAGGCGCAGGGTCTCCTGCCGTAGGGTCTCGTTCTCTGAGGCGAGCTCTTGCCGCTCCCGCCGAACGCTGGTCAGCTCCTTGGTGACGGTGTCCAGCCGCTGCCTCAGCTGACGTACCTCATCACGAGCACGGTTACGCTCCGCACGAACCTGGAAAGTGACAAAGTTAGGCAATGTCTGCAAAAGATGGGATCAAATGTTTATATACAGATATTCATCATTATAGAAGTCAGGAGTCATACATCTGTGTGCACAAAAAGACGAGAGACATTAAGTAGGCAGCCCACCTTACTCCACTTCTCTCTCCAGTTGGCCGTGCAGTCCGACCACCACCTCATGGTCTTCTCCATCTGAGTGGCTCTGGCTCGAGCCTCCTCCAGCTCCCTGAGCCTCAGCTCCTCCCTGCTCTCCCAGTCGGCCCCGGCTCCCTCACACATGGCCCCCAAGGAACCCAGCCCAAGGCTTCCCAGACCAGGGGACAGCAGCAGCGGGGGGCTGGAGCTGGGGGTTCCTCCAGTGGGGCTGGGGGTGTGGGTAAAGCTGTCCGGAGAACGGATCCCCCTGTCGGAGCCCAGGCCGAGGCTGCACAGTATGTCCCCTCTGGTCGACTTCCCGCCTTCTGACAGGTGGGGGCTTGGGGTGTGGTTCATGATGGAGGCAGTTGGTGTGGGTGAGGACAGTGAAGAGGATGATGGGAGGTTGAGGGCAGTAGATAGCGGGGATATTCAGGAAAAAATCATCCTCAGCAGCCAAAAAATCAGCCTGAAGACAGAAAGACAGAAACAAAACAAAAGTCACTCAGCTTGCAGGAGAAATAAAACCTGCATGTGCATCTGTTGCCCTCGTGTGCAGAGAGGACGAATTAAACAATTCAACGTTGATCAAAAAATAAATAATCTAATTTATGAATATAAACACATTCGGAGGAAATCACTGACAGACACACTGAACTGCCCTTGGGGAGGAAAAGTCCTCGTCTGCTTTAGAAAACGTTTTACTCCGAAGAGAAGCCGGACAGCTGGCACACAGGACCAAGACTGAAACGACTTCTGCTGCTTAAAAAATCAGCTCCAAGCTAAACAAGAACAAATGGGCACAAGAAAACAGACAGAGAAAAGCAGTAACACACTCAGACACTTAGTATCTGACAAATGTCTGAGGATCTAATTGAAACATGAACAAAGCTAACTCCAGCCGGCCTCCCAAAGGGAAAGCTAGAACTGAAAGAAAATCTGATCCGTGTCTCTCAGCAGGCACTCTCATCAGTCATTCTCTCCAGGCAAAAGTTGTGCAAGGATCTCCTTCTTGATCCTCAGTTCTGTTTAAACCATTTCCCCCTCTCAGTGCTCTCCCTCCTACAGAAACCTACAGAGACTTAAAGCAACACACAGACGCCTGAGAACTCGACAACACAGTGGACATCACGTGGAAGTCAAACTCCTTCATCATCAACGTTATGTCTGAACTGTCAAAACGACTTTCAATTATGGCATTATCTGTTTCGCAGTATTCAGGGTGTGGTCACCATCTTTTTCATATTCTCAAATTTGCAAAATACACAGTGTCTTTAATTGGCTTTGGTGTTTCTTCATCATAGACTGTATATAAACATGGACGACGTTTCAGTGACATCACCCATTCATTTCTGAAGGGCTGTTTAGAAAGCCCATCCATGGTGGTTGCCATATTGGAAATTGCAAACGACCTCTTTCAGTCAACCTAACGACAGGCAAAGAGCTGGCCACGCCCCTAATTATACACAACTCGCATCCTTCATGAGATCAAAACATGTGAGGTATAAAACCCAGTTTAGTGTGTGCTGATAGTGAATGAGACTTCCAAGTCTTTTGTAGACAGCCTCAAGTGGACATTCAAAGAACAGCAGGTTTTTTTCACTTCTGCATTTCATTTTTCAACACCGGAGGTTGAAGCCTTATCTTGATAAAACACATTAGTGCGGTTAGGACAGAATTCCCCCTCAGGTATCTGTGGATGAGTGCTGATCTTATCACCACTGCCTGTGCCAGGTTTAGGTTGAAAAATGCTTTTGAAAAAAATGCCATCTCGAGATGTGGCCAGAGTTAAACTGCAAAATCTGGACCAAGAAAAGCTCTGCTTATTCCCTCTTCCCTTCCCCCTGCTGCCTCCTCGCTTCCCTCCAGAGGAGGCAGAGGAAGGTCCTGAGGAGGTATGGGAACAACTCCCAAGGAAGCAGGAGAGAGGGAAAGGAAATGAAGCAACTTTAGATTTGCAGCTTTTGGCATAGTGGAGGCTTAAACTATGAAATGTCCAAGTGCTCAAACTGTCAGTGTTTGGCAGTGACATGTTTTTCTACTACCCCAAGACAAGAGTGAAAAAGGTCAAAAAACTGAGTTTTCATCGTCTCATCTTTAAATACCAACCAATCAGTCCTTTTCTAGATGTAATCACTGCAGCCCACTCTGTCACATCATGTAATGACTTTATGCTGTTTTATGGACGTACAGTATCATGTTCAGTAAAAGGAGTTCAGGTCGATAACATAGCTTCAGAAATCTTTTTAACTTGGTTAGAATTTTGAATTGTTAATGAATTTTCATGAAAATGCTTTAGGCAAGAACACGCCCAATAAAAATGGCATTTCCATGCAGAGGTCAGTTATATTGGCTTGTTACCAACACATCTTTAACAGCTTTTAAAAGTCAGATTAAAAAATATATTAAGTGCAACCTAGAGAAGTATAAATGTCATGCTTTAGTAAAACTGAGAGAACAGGTCACAGATCTTTAAAAAGAGGTCTGTGGTCTGTGGATTGAGGCAACATGACATCATGTATGTAAATTGTGTGTGTTATTCTTGGGATTTTGAGGCTTTTATTTAGAGATAGGACAGTGGATAGAGTCAGAAATTGAGGCGAGAGAGAGAGAGAGGGGAATGTCAGGCCGGAAGGGAGCCACAGGTCGGATTCGAACCTGGGCTGCCTGCTTGGCGGACCACAGCCTCTGTATACGGGCACGCACTAACCACAAGGCTACCGGCGCCCCATCAAGCAGTTCAGTTCGGTTCGTCACGCATTTTGTGGCGTTTCCACAATCAAAAGTCGGGAAAGGTCCCCAAATTACCGTCCTACTTTTTGCGACCCTTCTGTTGAGATGCCAAGTCTACCGATCCGACCCTAAAAGGTGGAGCTAAACACTGCAGTCCAGTGATTGGTCGAGAGAATCATCACTTCCCGTGCGACAGCGGTAATAAAAGACGGCTGTATTTTTCCTCGCGGCACACCTCGTCTGAAACAAAGCTTCATTGCGTTTTGTAACAATGAACCACAAGCCAATGAGAAAACAGGCTTTACCGAACCAAACTGTACTGATCCATACGGGACAGCTCGGTGGAAACGGGGTTTCTGTAATTTAAACCACAGAAAAGGCTGTCGGGGGTGCTGCATTAACTCAGTTGTTAGAGCAGAAGCACCATGTACAGATGCTACAGTCCTTAATGCACTAGTCGCCAGTTTGACTCCATCTGGTGCATGTACTCCCCTAGTGTCTCTCTCAAGCTGTCCTCTAAAAAACAATACATATTTAAAATGAAGAAAGAAAAAATGAAAAGGCTGTCAGGAGCTAACGGAGAGGGGGGGTGTCATAATAGATGATTTTGGAGGTTCAGTACAAGATCATCTATTCAAGAAGAAGCATGTGATGAAAAGCAGCCTGAAGTCATCGTAGTGACAGATCATGCTTATAAAGAGGAGACGCCTGCCCAGCTACGAGACAGAGAGGTATAGAAACAGGCAGACTGTGGATGAGTCATGAATGGATCCAATCAGCGACTGTAATTGAGGGCAGCCGTGATCAGAATATCATGTCAGTCTGATGCTGCGTTTAGGGACACGATCAGTCTGCTCAGTCCAGCTCACCAGACTCAAACATTTCCTGAACGAAGGCCAATAAAGCATCCTCATACAAGCTCAGACAGGCACACATTCTTTCTAAAGAGAACACTGTATTCAGAAATCTCCATATTTTAAAGGAGCAATATGTAACTCTGACACCTAGTGTTTCAAATGGGTACTGCAGTCCAAAGTCATAACATTGAAGAGAGCTGTCTCCACTTGCCCGGAGGGGGGCAATGCGGGCAAATTTATTTATAACGCACCTTTCAGACACCAAGGAAGTCAAAGTGCTTCACACAGGCACAAAAAGCATTTCAAACATTTCATAAAATAATGTTGGGGAATTAAAGAAATACACAATTTCTGGAGAAGGCATGCACCATTTCTACAAACTAGACGGATGCATGATCAAAATGTTGCAAAAATGCATCTCCAATATTGATCCTAGTTTGAGCACGTTTCTGCTCGTGGAGCTTATTAGAAACATGCAGAGGCTTTTTAGGTCGGGTACAATCACTTCTATCTGAACCACTTCTCTTGCCCGCTTCCATCGCTGCAACACCTGATAACTGCTCTCATATCTGACAAAGTGAGGGGCGTCCAAAGCGGCTCTGTAAGGGTGCCTTAAAACCGTCTCTGGTCCAAACAAAAACCAAAAAATCTGCAGGAGAATCTAAACTTAGAGTGAGGACATGCTGGCTGCTGCGTTGATGATAGCACTTCAACATGGCATGTTTCCTTAATGTGTGATGATACAGTAAGGTCATTTTATGATTTAATTCAGAAGATATCTTACATATCGAACCTTTAAGAAAGAAAACTTCCTCATCTTCAGGACAACAATGCTGACGATTTCAAATGTAAATGTATAAAATCATATCACACATAAATAAATCAATGTCATAAAATTCTCTACAAAAGTACAGCAGAGCCAACTCCAGCTGTACCGTATTTAACATAGCAGGAGCCCTGCAGCTGCAAATTAGTGACTATTTTTAAATTGCTTCACATTGGGCTTTGGGCTCTTAATATCACTGAAGCAAAGCTGAATATTAAAAAGAAAACATCCAGGCATCCTAAATACACCGTAGCAAGTTTCTGATTTCAAACAATAGGCCACTGCTTTAGGTGGGAGGGTGAGGACATTTATCAGTAACTTCTAAACGACCTCTTTTTTTGTTCCTGCATCATAGCTCCAAACCTCAAACACTGAAATGAGACTCTAATGATGGAAACCTCATTACATGACAAAAAAATGCAAATTGTTACAGCAGACATGTTTGCAGCTTGTACTAAAAAAAAAACGAGCAGCTCATTTCTTAATTGGTTAAACCTGTTTCACATTGATTGAACGTTGAGATGAGCATGTGCAACTACCATCTGTTGGCCTTATGCATCGCTTCAAAAACCAAAAGGTGACATCACGGCTGCATTCATGTTTGATACGGCCTAAGATTCAGACAGAGGCAAATCAGATGCCCAACTCTTAAAGTACACTGAGTCAGTGAAGTAAAGGATCTCATGTTCTGTCAATCATGTTTGCAAACTGACTCAGAAACTTTTGTCTGTGATTATTTTTTTCAGAACAGGCTCGATTTTCTGTGTTTTTATCGCATCCATCCCTCTGTGAGTGTGTGGGCGTGTCTTTAGCGTCCCTACCTCAAACTTACTGCCAGTCGCTGTTCATGATCAGTAAGCTTTGTGGATATCGGTGTTCTTCTTTGTAACGTGTGGTTCTAATATAAAGAGCAGCGTATCAAACTGTACCACTGACATCCATCTTTTTAACTCGACTTATTCAGACATTGAGTTCAAATGAAAAGTCAATCTGGACCAGAGAACCTAACAGAAATCTGAGGGTGTCCAGGGAGGGACCTGTGTGTGTTTGGGG